ATTTCTTAAAGAGCCTGATCGCAAGTGTAGTTTCAAGTGTAAGCCTTGCTTTCGAATAATAACTCAGTAAATGAAACCTTGTGAAATGACACAGATGAAAATTCGGGAGAAGGGATAAAAAATCGAATCACAGAGGATGAAATGGCACGAATATGAAAAATTATGGTTAAACGACAACGAATGTGCATCAACTAATTCTTACATAACTTCACTTACTTATTATTAGTTTTACTGCTCGCTTCACTCCTCTCTTGTGGAAATGAATCCTTTCGTCGATGGTATGGTCTCTTCTTCACAGATGTTGTTGATTGCTGATGATCAGATGGCAAGGGAGCAACCTGAATTGATCATCAAACTATCATTCCAAATAATTTTATTAAACTGATCACATTTTTAGTCTGTTCAAATGATGTTCAAACACGAAAACGGAAGGGAAAATAATATCATCAAAATTATCACAACAACGAATGTTTCACTGATAGGGTGGATCACCGAATTGAGTGATTATATAAAATTAGAATATGATTATTTTCTGCAATGCAGAATACTTCTCCACTTGAGCTAATAAAATAAGAACGACTAACGAAGCACGGCGTGGTTGCATGTTCACGGTAAAGTACTGGCATTCCTTGGTGTGTACGATTGTCATCGACTGAATTCGATGCAACTGATTCAATGGTTCTGTTAATCGCTGAAGTCCCTTCTGATACATCATTCAATTCAGCCGTTTGTGAGCGATTCTGAAACTTCGCTGCTTCTAGACTCTCACACAAAATAATCACAAACACCATCGTCGGTAGACCACTAAAATGAAGACCACTACCAAGCAGACCACTAAAATTCAGTACAGAAATGATAAACCATTCCGAAAGTTAACGTTCAAAGGTAATTTTAGGATCATCTGATATAAGAAAACAGCACTCAATTCGACTACGCCTTTGAAGCTAACACATATTAGCATATTTCATTTGAATTTATAACTTTTATTATAAGAATTTTCAGTGGTAATCCTCAGTTTGCAGAACTGTACTTGACTTTAGTTTATTAGAAATAGCATTTACGAGCTAACCCTTCGAGCGAATACACATCTAGCTGCGGTAAGACTCGGTGCGAACGCTTGTAAGGCTTGCCTTGCATCCAAACTGCAACACTGTCGCATTGGATTGCAGTCCTGATCTGAACGCTGCAAGCTTGGAATAGACGACGTTAGCGGAATGTCATCTCTAGGGCACACACAGTGATGTATTCCAGTGATAGGTGTAGAGGATGTAAGTAGTTTGCTCAGTGCTGAAATAAGATTAACATCTATTGCGAGTATTTTACAATCAATTCGATTGAAAAGTAAACCATTTCAATTGTT